TACTTGATCGTACAAATCAAAAGCTGTTTACACTCGTTAGCAAATTAGCTTTCATTGTGTCCGAGGATAGAAATTTCCAATAGTGTTGGTTTCTAGAAAGAATTAATTGTTTGACAATTTAATTATGTGTAACATCAATAACTGATTTCATACTGTATAAAGTTTACTATTATACTGTTACGTGACATTTGTAAAGTCTTTTTGGTTAATCTTTATTTTTAAACGTAACATTGATATGTTAGAAAATGGTGTTTTCCCCAATATCATAGTGACTCTTAGTATTTTCTCTTTTTGGCTGCGTTCACACAATCCAAAATAATTGTTTTAAAAACGAGGAAAGCACATTCTTATTTTATTATGGAAATGTCTCCATTATAGTTTGGTTGTGTTTGAACATTCAAGTTACTTTAGAATGACGGCATTTTTAAATTTTCTTTCCTCATTTCCCATTTTTTTTATTAAGGAGTAAATATTTTTCAGTAAATCCCCATTTATGTATTATTATGTTATTATGATTGTAATTTTACTATAATCTCATATCACAAAAATAAAAAAAGGTACTCCAATGCCAAAAATAGAATCTAATTGCACTTAACCAATCTTTCACAAATAAATGAAGACGTCTTTCGATCAAATATATGACGATCGTTGCCATTTGAAGTTAATTGTTGTCAATCGGTATACCGTTTTCAAAATGTAGCTCTGACGTAGTAGATATGCTACGTGAGATCATGTTGTTATCGCCGCTAAGATAATAAAATACTTCTGAGCAGTTTATAGGAAAATAATTTTCAGACAGTACTTCAATCAATACGAACTCTGAACTAAAGAAACTAAGGAGTACTAGAACTTATTAACATTGCCATATGCACATTGTGTACGGAGTATATTTACAAAAATGAAGAAACAGTCAGTAAACTAAAAAATCGTCTAACCTATGGCGCAAAATACGGATATTTTTTTTCTTTTTTAATATTTCGATACCAGCCTAGAATGAAAAAAATTTAGGAAATTATGACAAGCATTTTCAATTTGTTTTAATATTATTTATTAATTCTGAAAATTAATGCAAAAGGAAAAAAAGAAGTTTTTTTCATTCCAACATTTTTTTTAGTTTATTTTATTATATATATTTGTTTTAGTAATATCAACATTGAAGTATATTGGATAAACATAACTATTTCAGCATTTTAGATTTGCCGCGAGCAAAGCACAGCAATGACCATTGTGGGTTCTTTTTCTTTGAGCAAAGGATTGAACGCTGTTCCAAAGTTAAATTCCAAGTCGAATATATTCGAAGGCTCACTGAATTTGTTATTTATTAACATTGCAGATGACATCACTGACCTATTGAACACTTCCTTTTAATAAAATATTCCCGGTTTTATCGTAGATAAAAAGTGTACCGCAATTTTTATGAATACAACTTCAAAAATATTCCAAATGCTGTCATTTTTCCAACTTTATTAATTAAATTGACTCGTATTTTGGACTAAAACAGAGAATAATGAAAGGAGAAAACATTTCTTTAGGTAATGGAATTTGTTCGTTTTATTTGCACATTTCCTTCCAGCGGTCAAAGTACAATCAATAAATAATTTAAATAGAAGTTACTTAATCTTAGACATTTAAGCTATAAGTCTTGGCATTAGATCAATATCAATTATTATCAGAAACTTAAATTATGCTATGCTCAATTATCATTCGATGACTAACATCTGCCTTGATGTTTCACTTTCAAGCTTTTATTGCTCCTGCTAGCACAATTGAATGTGCATTCGTTGGTATAAGTTTTTCCATCATTTCCGCAGAGTGGTGCAAAAATTCGAGTGCAGAGACAATCTTCAGCTGCATAAGGGACTGGCACAACTTTCTCATCTTTCTTGCATTCTCCTTTGTGTTTCAGGCTCAATCCTTTGATGTTTTTAATGGCGCAATTCAATGTACATTCGTTGCTGTATGTATTTCCATCACTTCCACAGACTGGTGCAAAGTTCCGGGTGCAGATACAATCCTCAACTGCGTATGGGACTGGTACAACTTTCTCATCTTCTTTGCATTCGCCCTTGTGTTTCAAGCTCAAACCCTTCGTGTTTTTAATGGCGCAATTCAATGTACATTCATTGGTGTATGTATTTCCATCGCTTCCACAGACTGGTGCAAAGTTTCGGGTGCAGATACAATCCTCAACTGCGTATGGGACTGGCACAACTTTCTCGTCTTCTTTGCATTCGCCTTTGTGTTTCAAGCTCAAACCCTTCGTGTCTTTAATGGCGCAATTCAATGTACATTCATTGGTGTATGTATTTCCATCGCTTCCACAGACTGGTGCAAAGTTCCGGGTGCAAATACAATCCTCAACTGCGTATGGGACTGGTACAACTTTCTCGTCTTCTTTGCATTCGCCTTTGTGTTTCATGCTCAATCCTCTGATGTTTTTAATGGCGCAATTCAATGTACATTCGTTGGTGTATGTATTTCCATCGCTTCCACAGACTGGTGCAAAGTTCCGGGTGCAAATACAATCCTCAACTGCGTATGGGACTGGTACAACTTTCTCATCTTCTTTGCATTCGCCCTCGTGTTTCAAGCTCAAACCCTTCGTGTTTTTAATGGCGCAATTCAATCTGCACTCGTTAGTATATGTATTACCATCACTGCCGCAGACTGGTGCAAAGTTTCGGGTGCAAATACAATCCTCAACTGCGTATGGAACTGGTACAACCTTTTCGTCTTCGTTGCATTCGCCTTTATGTTTCAAGCTCAAACCCTTCGTGTTTTTAATGGCGCAATTCAATGTACATTCATTGGTATATGTATTGCCGTCGCTTCCACAGACTGGTGCAAAGTTTCGAGTGCAGATACAATCATCAGCTGCGTATGGAACTGGCACAACTTTCTCGTCATCTTGGCATTCACCTTTGTGTTTCATTTCTAAGCTTCTGAGGTTCTTTCCCACGCAGTTCAAAGAACATTCGTTGACATATGTATTGCCGTCACTACCGCAGACTGGTTCAAAAATAAGAGTGCAGGCGCAATCTTCCGATGCGTATGGAACTGGAACGATTTGATCGTCGCTGCATTCACCATTGTATTTGATGACCAAATTGTGATTTCGTTTCTTTTCACATTCAAACAGACAGTTGTTGGAGTAAGTTACGTTGTCCGATCCACAAACAGGGAGATATTGACGAGTACAGCGGCAGTCAGTAGATGCGGGTGCAGAGTAAATTGATTGCACTAAGGCAACGACTCCAATGATAACGAATAGTTTGTTTACTCCCATTTTCCCAAATTTATTTGATTCTTCTTTTCTTCTAGTTTATATCACGTTGAACACTTTTCGTATAAATCTTTTGTTTTTGCTTCAATTGAACTGTTCGATTTGATTTCTTAGTCTGAACTAATAATTATCCTTGCTACCGGCATGTATTTATATGAAATTTTCAAGTGCGTGCAAACGAATAACATTTCTT